GGATGCAAGTGGGTGTTCCGAATCAAGAGAAAAACGAATGGATCAATTGAACGATACAAAACTCGACTTGTTGCAAAAGGGTTCAACCAGGTTGAAGAAGAAGATTACGTTGACCCTTTCAACCATGTGGTGAAACCAACTAACTATAGTAAGACTCTTGGGGCCCGTTTACTAACAGGAAATTTTCTCCAGTTTTCTGAAAAACTGGAGAATTGAGGATTAGAAAACATAAAATATGTTTATTACCACAGTTTTCCATTTTGAAAAGTGAAAATAATTTTCCAGTTTTCTAAAAAATTGAAAAACTCTTAAAAACTGTTTTCTAAATAGAAAGCAGAATCATCTATCATCTATTTGGTTATATGTCACTATAATCACATTACTATGACTACATTCATTATCATCTTCTTTTACTTATCACAATCTTCTGTCTTTTCTACTTACTTTTACTTATTTAAACACAACTTATTTGTTTACACAGTTACACTTTAAAGTTAGACATTATATATATTACTTACATTATCAAAATTAAGAATTGAACTCTATACAATGTTTTAGATTTTGATTGAACTCAATAGATTATTAGTTCGTATACTTTTAGTTATGTTATATCGTAATACAAGTTCGGTCCGAATATCGGATAATGAAATCTCACATATATTAGAATTCAAAGTAAAAATTATATATTTATATACATGCCATTCAAATGAATAAATCCAAAAAATATTTTAAATATTAGCTAAAAAATATTAATATTATCTAAAGTAAATTTTAGGTGAACTTAGTAGATTATTGGTTCAGATATAATTTTTAGTTTTTATGTAAAAAATTTACATATATTAGACCTAATCCAAAAAAAAAAAATTGAAAATAAGTTAGTAAACAAGTTTTCTAGACTAGAGAGGACTGTGATTCAGAAACTTGAGGAATTTCAATCTAGCTATGCTTGCAAAACAGTCTTGGAGACTTATCAACAGCCCAGGTTCTTTAGCAGCAAGGGTGTATAAAGCTAGATACTTCCCTAATTCTACATTTCTAGAGGTTCAAATCCTTCTTTCATCTGGACTAGTCTTATGGAAACTCAGGATATTATAAGAAGGCTTTGCAGGTGGAGAGTTGGCAGAGGGAACTCGAGTCAGATCTGGAAGGACAGTTGGTTACCTAATAAAAGAAGCTCAAAGATTACAACTTTCCCTTATCCTCTGATAGAGCAGGCTACTGTGGACTCTTTGAAGGATTCTACAAACAGAAATTGGGATGGCGAGACTATTAATGTAATGTTCAACATAAGAGATGCTCAACTAATTCTGAAAATTCCCCTTCCAGTGCAGAACTCTCTAGATAAACTGATATGGTCACCTGAAGTTAGTGGTGTATTCTCAGTTAAGAGTTGCTATAAAGTTCTAAATGGTGAATTACCTCAGGATGAGAAGAAGTACTGGTTAGTATTCTAGAAGATGAAGTTACCCCCGAAGGTCAAAAGTTTCTTCTGGTAGGTGTGCACAGATTGCCTTCCCACTAGAGACCTGCTGCTCAAAAGAAGAGTTGAATGTGATGATATTTGTCCTCTATGCAGGGAGGAAAATGAATCTATTTGGCACTTTTTCTTTGACTGTAGGGTGGCCAAAGATGTATGGTCTCTTGCAGGTTTTAGGTTTCAACTAGCTTCCACTTCTTCTTTCCATGAGTGGCTCACATTAACATGTCGAAGCTGAGCTCTATGCAACTTGGAAACTGTATTATCATTTGCTGGGATATCTGGAAACAACGAAATGATAGTGTATGGAACAACAAAAATCATCTTCCAACTAATGCCACTTTAAATAGAGCCCTTACATTCTTGAGGGGCTGGAGATTGGTTGCGGACACTGGGGTGGAGACGATTGCTCAACAAAGGCAGGTTGCAGATTCCTGGATCAGACCACACCTTGGCTATCTTAAAATGAATGTGGACGCAACCATTAACAATGAAAAGGAAACTATGGGTTTTGGCTGTGTCATTCGTGATGAGGAAGGAAAATTCTTTGCAGCAAAGGAATTCCAATAACTGGGTTTATTCACCCCAAGAGAAGCAGAAACGGCGGCGATTAGAGAGGCATTAATCTGGATCAAAGAGCTAAATCTGGACAGGGTGCAGGTGGAAACAGACTCTCTCATTGTGGTCCAAAACGTTAATCAGAATTTGGAGGAGTCTTCTTTTCATTTGTTAGTTAAGGATATTAAAAATCTATTGAGTAGCTTTTCTCATGTATTTTTATCGTTCTCTAAACGATTAGCGAACCGGGCAACGCATTTGGTCGCTAAGCAGTCCGCTTTTACGTCTAATTGTATGGAGTGATTCTATAACCCTCCCCCCTATCTGTGTAATGTTTTGTCTTCAGACTCTTATTAATCTATGACTATTATATCTTAAAAAAAAAAAAAAGTAAACAAGTTTTCTAAACAGAAAACATAGAATGGAAAATAGAGAATGAAAACTGAAAAATTAAGAAACAGAAAACATAGAACAATTTTCTGTTAGTAAACAGGCCCTTGTTATCTCTTGTAAATTGCAATAACAAAAATGGGTCTATCTGGCAGCTCAATGTTCATAATTCCTTCCTGAATGGCTGCCTAAGTGAGAATGTTTCTATGAAGAAACCATTGATGTACATTGACAAAACTTTTCCTACTTATACTTGCAAATTGCAAAAACCTCTCTATGGTTTGCAACAAGCAGCCCATGCGTTGTTCAATCGTCTTCATGATTGTCTTTTCAATCGGATTCAAGACTTCAAAAACTTATGCATCAATGTTTATCTATTTAACTACTAACACTCATATTTAGTTGTTGGTCTATGTTGATGATATACTAATAATGGGCAGCAACAAAAGCTTCTTGAATTCTATAACAAGCAGACTAATTGATATCTTCAAAATCAGAGACATGAGACCACTAAGCTTCTTTTCAGGAATATAGACAATTAATAGCAAGGGCACGATGATTGAGATATTCAAAAAGTCGAGAATGGAACATTGCAAACCTATCTCAACTCTGATTCCAGTCAACAGCAAGCTAAGTGTACAACCTTATCTCAAATAAAATCTCATACAGTACCACAGTCTTGTTGGAGCGCTTCAGTAACTAACCATCAATCATATCTCTCATTTACAGTCAACAAACTCTGTCAGTTCATACACTGCCCAAACACTAAGCATTGGGTAGCAATACCACGTGTTCCATGGTATGTTAAAGGTACTCTAGACTATGGTCTACATTTTACAAAATTAGACTCTAATGATATTCATGTTTTTTCAGACTCTGATGGGGCGGGTGCCCTAATGACGCAAGTCCACCAGTGATTTTGTTGTCTTTACTAGCAAAAATTAATCTCTTAGACCTATCGTAAGCAAAAAATAGTGGCTAGATCCCCAACAGAAGCAAGATACAAATTAAAGCCATAGCTAATGTCTAAGCAGAAGTAACACAGTTAGTTGCTCTCATTCGAGAACTTGGTTTCATTATGCTAAAAACACATCGACTTTGGTGTGACAATCTTGGTGCTACTTATTTGTGTGCAAATCATGTGTTTCATTCCCGAACTAAACATGTAAAAATAGAATATCACTTTGTTTGCGACAAAGTATCATCGAATGAATAATAAGTCAACTACATCTCTACAAAAGACCAACTAGTAGACATACTCACCAAGCCACTCACCACGGCCAGATTCAATCTTCTAAGGGACAAGCTTAATGTTCCCTTTAAAGACCCTTAACCTTGAGGGGACATAATAGGACTCTGTGTTTTATCAACACTAGAATTCCTTCTCCCTCTCATGACCCGTTTGGTTCACGGAATAGGCCGGGAATGGCATAACATTCTCAGTAATGAGCCTATTTCTTTGTTTAGTAACCATTTCTATTACCATGAATAATATTCCTAGTAATAGCCTATTACCTCAAATAAAGTAATAGCTATTACCAGGGCCCCTGGTATTAACTTATTCCTGACTCCTCAGGAATATATATATATATATATATATATATATATATATATATATATATATATATATATATATATATATATATATATATATATATTTCAATTTTAACCTTTTTATTTTAACCTATCTTTCTCTTCGTTCTCTCCCTGCGAATCCTTCCACATCTGCGATTCCTTTCATCATCAACATCAATCAAGCAATTCTTTCCGCAATTCTACATCAATCTTTGCAATTCCTTCTACCGTCTACATCTACATCAAATTAAAGCTTCAAACAAAGGATTTTTCTTAATTTTATTTTTTACAAATTAATTATTTAGATATTTAATTATATATATATATATATATATATATATTTATATATATATATATATATATATATATTTATTTATTTAATTAGAGTGGAGTAATTAGAGTAGGACTTTGTATACTGCAACTGACACGGCACCCACCCCCCATCGGCTGCCCCCCACCGCGACAAGGAAGCATAGACACGTCGGTAATCAACGACAACCAACGGCAATCACTACACTACAACTCTGAGAGTCGAGCATGGATTATACAACACCATCAATACCAGGTATTCACGCCAACCGTTATTCTGATAGGTGTAGAATAGAGTGTGATTAATACCGTAACAGTATATTGATATGTAAATTCATGAATAAGAAATAATAATTGTGCGAATTAGGTTCTAATCTACTGGACAAAACATACAAAAACAAGAGTAATAGCATAGTAATAGCCCACAGGAGATTAACGAAAGTGGACGCCTGCGTTTCTGGTGTCGCGCACACAACAATGGTCCCGAGTGCACCAAGCAGAAACCACCCAAAATCGGGTTGTCAAAACGAGTACACAGTAGCAGTTTAGACAACCCAAGCACATCGCTGGAGTCTACCGTGCACATACTCAACAACTCGCAATAAATCAAACCCCCACGCTATATCTAATCATTTACACTTGGATCACCCCTCTAATGTGTATATTTGTTGTGTTTAATAGGTGAGGGCCAATGCGGACAGACCGACATAGTGACACAGAATGTGAGATGGGAATACGCGAAGATGGTGCGAAATATTGGAGACCGACAACACAAAATGAGAAGACACCGTACAAAGGACAACAATTCGAAACAGTAGACACCGGGATTGATTTCTACGTGGAATACGCTAAAGAGGCAGGATTTGATGTTAGGAACGGCACAAAGCGTAGAAATCGGAAGGGGGAAGTGTCAATCAAATACTTGTTGTGCTCAGGAGAGGGTTACAAAGCTAAAACAAAAGAATCCCAAAATAGCACAAAAGAACGAAAGAGGCGGAGGAGAACGTCCAACAGGATAGGATGTAAGGCGCGTATGGTAATGACAAAGCGTGACACAGGCGGATACAAAGTCCATGCAATTGAGCTGCGACATACGCACTGTCTATGCTCAGACACGGGCAAACCTTTTTTAAAGATAAATAGGCAACTCGACAACGGCCACAAAACCTTTTTGGCTCATTGTGCAAAGGCAAACATAAGTCCTACAAAAGCGTTCGGACTATTCAAAGAGATGGTGGGAAGCTTTACAGATATAGGAGCAACATGCATTGAGTTCTGCAATTTTAGGCGAGACCTATTGGCCTATATAGCTGAGGCAGATGGCCAAATGGTGATAGAAGACATGTTCAAAAGAAAAGAGGACAACCCAGACTTCTATTTCGATTTTGACATAGACGAAGAAGCACAATTAACTAGATTATTCTGGGTAGACGCACAATCCCGAAGGAATTATGCATGCTTCGGTGATGTCATATTGTCATGTCATTCGACGCTAGATACAGCACAAACAGGTACATCTCAGTATATATTGAATACAAACACTAGTGTGTATGCATGCCTAGTAATACAGGTGTGCACACAGAATAATGCATGGACACGCAGCGAAGTAAGTAACAAGCCGAGTGTAATACTAACACCAACCGTGCTTACATTGCAGGTACATGTTAGTGTTCGTCCCTGTCACGGGGGTGGATAACCACAAAAGATGCATAACATTATGGGCAGGCCTGATTGCGAAAGAAGATGTAGAGTCGTATGAGTGGCTACTAACTAAGTTCAACACTGCAATGGAATACGCGCCAAGATGTATTATAACTGACCAAGATCCTGCACTAAAGATAGTAGTACCACAAACTATGCCAACAACAAGGCACCGATTCTGTATGTGGCACATTATGACAAAAGTGGGGGAAAAGGTAGGGGTTGCCTTGTGGCACAATCAGGACTTCAAGAAGGCATTGAATAGTACCGTATGGGATGACAAACTAACCATAGATGAATTCAAGAGAAAATGGGAAACAATTATGAAGGACTACAACCTTAAAGACCATAGGTGGTTTGCCAAGCTTTACGAGGCGCGTGTATCATGGATACCAGCATACTTCAATGACATATTAATGGCAGGACTGCTCAGGACAACATCAAGATCAGAATCAGAAAACAACTATTTTGGTAAATTCACAAACCACCACTGCATCCTAGTAGAATTCATGGCGCAATACAACAGCGCCATCGGAGAACAAAGACATAAACATGCAAGACTAATTGCAGAAAACGAAGGTTCGTACCCTGAAACTAAAACCCCATTGAGTATTGAGAAAAACGCTACTACAGTGTACACTATAAACATATTCTACGAATTCCAAGAACATGTATGGGAAGCCAGTTTCACGTGTGACATCATCGACAAACACAACAGAGGGGATATATGGAAGTACACAGTTAAGGACACAAATGGAAAAATGTATGAAGTAACCGAAACCTCACAGGCAAAGGAAATAGAGTGTGCGTGCAAAAAGTTTAACCGTGTTGGTATACTATGCAGGCATGTGATGTTGGTGATGAAGACAAGAGGGTATGAGTCAATCCTAGAAAAGTATATTGTTCCATGATGGACACGAAACGCATGTGCACAATCATTATACGATGTCCCGTGGGCAAGAACCAAAATACAACCAAAATACCACATGTACCCCTCTTAACATAAAAACTCAATAAACAATAGAATAACACACGCCCAAATCATAACCTCATGTTTATATTTTAAGATGTGTTTTTACCTGAATATATATATATATATATATATATATATATATATATATATATATATATATATATATATATATATATATATATATATTATGTAGTTTATTGTTTTTTTTTTTTTTTTTTTTTTGCCGTAGTGTTATTGTAATTTGTATAAGTTATTGTAAGTTTTAAAATAAATTTGCAGTTATGGCTCGATTGCGTTTAATAACTCGTACTGAAAGAAGGAAAAGATGTGTAGCTGTGTTGCGTGTGTGGTTGGATATGTGTGTTTCTGTGAGTTTATTGTTTATAATGATGATGTCAACCTTGACAATTTCGTGTTCTAATAAAAACCGAGTGAAATCTTATAGTATTAAATGCTGTTTTGAAACTCTGAAATCATTTATTCAAAGATCCTGAACCAGTTCTAACTACCTCTACATATCATAGATGGAAATGGTTTAAGGTAGTTAAACATATTCCCTGAGCCACGTAAGATAGTGCATTTGTTAGTTTGGATGATATTGATTTAACGAGTACACAACCTGAGCCACAAAATGATGGTAGAAAAAAAAAAGCAATTCAAGTAAGAGAAAGATGAGTCATGATGACGTTATTGAGATATGTGCTGAGAATATGCTTAATGATGCGAAGCTAATAAGCAATACAATGTCAGGGGTTGGTAAGAATTTGTCCGATGGTCTTCAATATGATCGTGATATGGATATGTTTCAGAAGCTTGAACGTGCATTAAAAGAGGTTGATGGTTTGGCAAATGATAAAATGGACCTTGTTTCGTTTAAGCTCACTGATCTGTTGGAAAAAATAGCATAAAATGACATTTTAAGTAGTTATTTTGTGGTACAAATATTAGTGGGTCCACTTCCGATTTGGGACGGATCAAAGTGGATTCGGGTTCGTCGTAGTGAGATGAAGAGATTGATATATTGTACGCTCAAAACAGATAATGGGTAAATGAGATATTGATTTTTAAAGTAGACCCATTTGAGTTGGAAAAATGAAGGGAAAAAGTGAAGCTTTTGTCCCACATTGGCTGTGGAAGTGGATTTGCCCCACTATTTATACAAGAGCTCTTTTAAAGTTTATTGAGCTGAGCTTGAGCGTGGGTATGCTCGAGCTCGTTAAAGGAAGCTTAGCTTGAGCTCGTGACTTGATGCTGGAGCTCGAGCTCGGCAATTGTTGAGCTGCTCGAGCTCGAGTTCGGGCTTGAATTTGAGCTCGGTTTTAACCTTGAGTTTGACGATTTGGCCTGTATGATTTAAAATTTAAACTACTCTATTTTATCCATACATAAATAATACAAAATTCAAACCAAAACACTCAAAATAAATTCGCAACGAAGTACAAGACACAAGTCAATAACATTGTTCAAACTTCAAAACATTCAAAATAAGTTGGCGACACGCGACGGTAGCAACGGCTCTCTGCAGTCGTGACTCGTGAGTTGTCGAACTTTCGAAGTCTCTCTACAGTCGACGAAGAGCCAAAGTCTCTCTTGAAATCTGAAATCTGAAGGCGCTAGAATTCTAGAAATTTTTAGGCTTTTGAGTTTAAAAATTTTAATTGTTATTTTTATATATTTTAATTATATATATATATATATATATATATATATATATATATATATATATATATATATATATATTATATTATATTTTACGGCTCGAGAGCCGGCTCGACGAGCCACGAGCCTAGAGTATCTAGGCTCGACTCGAGCTCGTTTATCTAACGAGCCGCTCGAGCTCGATTTTGACCAAGCTCGAGCCGAGTGTTGACCGAGCCGCTCGCGAGCGGCTCGACTCATTTACACCCCTAGTTTGGTCTACCGATACGTTCCGCTCTGCGATTCACGTGTACCGGTATACACAGTGTGGTGCGTTCCGCTGGGGTACATACCGTGTTTCTGAAACGGTATACCGTCTACCGGTGTACAGCGGTACACGCCTATCATTTCTGGAACGTTTCATATCTGTTCAGTTCAAATGACTGTTGGGAGGATTAATTCACCTGTTACGGAATTAATTCCAATTTTAAATTCCAGAATTAATCCTTATATTCAATGGTTAGTTTTGAAGGTTTTGAACATGGGTTTGAATGCCTAAGTAAATGCTATTTACACCATCTTCTCCTATATAAGAAGTAGTAGTTGCAGCAGAATTTTACACGGAACATAGACAATTGTTTTCTAGCTCCAGAATCTCTGCTTCTACTCCTCTCTTAGCCTACTGTGTTATAAGCTTTGCTCTAGTTCAAAGTTTGGGTGCTCAAACGTTGAACCGTACCACGTTTTATCCTGGGAAACCTAGGCTACAACGCTCCTAGCACTTGTAAGAGGTAGCAAATAAGGTTTTAAGGAAACGAACAATTCGTTCAACTCGTGCTAACCTCTAATCGAATCATCCACCCTTTCCTTCCCAATTATTTGCCTTTCCATATAATGATAATCTTTTCGTAGGATTATTATTTTTGGGGTATACCAACAAGAAACTACCCAACATGATCATCCTAATAAAGTAGTTTTTTTCTCAGTCTTGATCCTAATCGAAGACTACAGTGGATCAGAAGATTCCTTGCTATCAATTAATCATTCTTCTTCATAGTTATTGTAACAACCAAAAAAATTATTTTATAAATCCGGTATTAAGAAATTTCAAAATAGCCATTTTCACTCCATTAAATTTTTTTGTGATTAATTGGTGTTTGAATAAATTATTTTCGTCACATTTTAAATTAATTCAACACCAAAATTGATTCTATTCGAAAATTCCTAAATTTTCGGGTACTTTGCGTACCAAGATTTAAATCGAGAAATTTATATGAGTGAGACCGGGAGAATTCAAAAAGATTTTAAACAAGAGTTCATCTAATTAGCTTTTTGAGAAAATTCATTTTCAACCCCAAAGCATTTAAAATAGCATTTCTAGTCTATGGTCCATGTTGCAAGGTGGACCAAAAAGAGCATTTCTCCTTGTCTGATCTTTGCTAGAACTACCCCAAAAATTACCACTTTTCCCTCAACCAATGATTGAGTATCCTTCTAGGGTTTTGAACCCATATAAAAGCAATAGAAAGCCAACCTTTTCCCCTGATTCCATTCTTTGTCTTCCCACCTAAGAAACACATTGAGTTCTTAGGTTCATTTTCACCCTTTGCTCATCTAGTTTCTCCTCTTTAGCTTCAAATCTCTGAGGTTCTCCACTTAAGTGTTGTTGTTTGGCTTGCTTGAGACATTTAGGTGGTGAAGGGGGTAGTGGTTGAGTTGGGAAGAAGAAGGAATCCATACAAGAAGAAGAGACAACAAGAGGTATAACCCCATGGACCCCCTCTTTGAAATTTGGCTCTGTGAAGCCTTTATATTAAGTAGAAATGAGTAGAATCTATGAGATTTTGTTGTGTTTATGCTTAGAAGTGATCTAGTATTTGTTTGTGAGTTGTTGAGATTGTTTTGGACTTGTTTGGATTGAGTTTTGCATATGAGAAAGCCTTCTGGTGCACACTGGGTGTGCACCAGATCAGACTAACAGCCTTTGCCGCGACCCATCAGCAGGGCCGCCGCCTAGAGCCGTGGTTGCACGGGACTAGGGCACGGCCCTAGAGGAGGGCCGCCGCCTAGTCCCGGTGGAGTAGCGGGGTACATGGGGTGGACCATGAGGAGTCCCGCCCCAGGTCCCTGACTTTGATTCTGAGAAGAATCTGTGCAGTGGCCGGGCCCTTGTGGCTCAGCTACGTGTCGTTTTGAGCTGAGTGTTACGGGCCCTTGTGGCTCGGCTCTTCGGGACCGTCTCGACGCACGTTTTAGCTTTGATTTCGTTGAATTTGGATTAAAAACGAGTATGTTATGAAAGTTTTATTGAAGATTTGCTACACGGAGTATATATTTGCTAGTTTATTGTGTATGAAGAATTATTTGACTATGTGATCTGATGATATTTTTATTGAGTAAAGGAGCATGATCATTTGAGAATATGATTTTTTATGAAAGCATGACTAGATTGTGATATTTGATCAATGAGAAATGAAGCATGTTTTGTTGATAGAATGTATAGAAATTGCTATGTTGCAAACCGAGCATGATGTTATATTCTTAAGTATTTCATGTTATTTTATACATGGTTTAGAAGCATGTTATAGAGCATTTTGACATTTCACATGTGTCATATTTCAAAAATGCATAAGGGGCCAACGTGAGCCCAAGAATACTTTCAAAAACCATAAGCATGTGGTATATCATTCTTTGATGCATTGAGAAGTAGTAGAGTTGTTGCATGCATGAGAGATATATTTATGTATTATTTATATCGGTGAGGTTTTAGAGGATACCGTTTGGATTATGTCATCTCGGGAGATATTTATGGACATTGCGGTCCCAGTATATGTAACGCGGCGTGTTCCCACGTTACGAGGTTGGAAACTGCCCGCCAGGCTTGGAATCCTGGTTTGGGGGTGTGCAAACCAATAGTTTGATACCTGATTCCACAGAGATAGAACCACGAGATTGGTTCCGTAGACGGTAGGAGATATTGGGTCAGATTTATGCCGTTCCCGATGGGATAATTCACGCCTCGGTGAAACCCTAAGCCGTCTACGAGTAAAAGAAAGAAAGCGAGTCAAAAGAGACTCAAGAGAAAGAAAGTGAGTCAAGAGAGACTCAAGAGAAGGAAAGTGAGTCAAGAGAGACTTAAGAGAAAGAAAGTGAGTCAAGAGAGACTCAAGAGAAAGAAAACGAGTCAAGAGAGACTCAAAAGTAAGAAAGAGACCTCCACAAAAAGTACTCTATTTTTATAATGAGTGATTGAGTATGTATATATGTATATATATATATATATATATATATATATATATATATATATATATATATATATATATATATATATATATATATATATATATATATATATATATATATAGTATTGCACGAGATTGCATATGTGTATGAGTATATTATTGCACGAGATTGCATATGAGTATGAGTATATTATTGCACGAGATTGCATATGAGTATGTTTATAGTATTGCACGAGATTGCATATGAGTATGAGTATATTATTGCACGAGATTGCATATGAGTATGAGTATATTATTGCACGAGATTGCATATGAGTATGAGTATATTGTTGCACGAGATTGCATATGAGTATGATTATAGCATTGCACAAGATTGCATTTGAGTAAAGTATCGCATGAGAGTACATAATGAGAATGTTGATTTATAATCGTTTTGTTGTATTAGAAGTCTTGTTTATCGAATTATGAGATGAGAATATAAAAGCATGAGAATACCTGTTATATGGCTTATTAGCATGATCCTATCTGTAAGCATGAATTGCTTGTTAAGTTATTTGAGGAGTTTATATGCTGATGAATTTAAGTGAACAATCTTTATATATATATATATATATATATATATATATATATATATATATATATATATATATATATATATATATATATATATATATATATATATATATATATATATATATATATATGAGCATGCCAACTGATATAATAGGGTGCAAGCATCTAGAAAGTATGTGTTAGATCTAAGGATGATTTGAGATGAGTTTATTGTTTATAAAGAAATCAAATGTTTTCAAAGTAAATGCTAGAATGCTTTACAGGGTTGAGTGTGGTTATACTTAGCTTCGTGCTAACGGGTGTTTTCCTATTTGTCTATGTGTTGTTTGCAAAACCCCTTTCAGGTGGGCCAACAATGAGAAGAGATCGAGTTAGATTAGTCTCTTAGTTTGAGATGTCTAAACTCTAGTTTTATTGATGATCATGTTATGGATTTTAGATTTATTGACTCTATGTTTTTGAGGATGATGTAGACTTGTGGGGTGACGTTTTCCCCCTTATGATTCCAGTATTTTATTTGGATACCAGATTTTTATCTTATTTCTAGTTTACCCCTTAGCCTGTGCAATCACCACGGAGTGGTGGTTGTGGCGGTGACACTCCAACTAATTTTATTTTTAGTTATTATTTTCGCTGCTTAGTTATGTAAATGGCTGTTTAGAGTTGTAATTAAGAGTTATAAAAGTGGGGTGTTAGAGTTATATTTTATGAACATTGTAACTTTCATTGACTATTTTGTTATTTATATGACTACTAGTCTTTTCTATGCGCGATGCGCAAAAACATATGCCTAATATTTATATATTATTTTTTAAAATAACTAATAAATTCCTACTAATTAAAATATATATGAAATCAAATTTATTTATTATAATATCTAATATATAACATCTACAAATATTATTATCATTAAAGAATATAAGAAAATATATGATGGATGCATGTGCATGATAAAAATAATGGAAAAGATAACAGAAGTTATAACGGTAGGGGTATTTTTGTCCAAAAAATTATATAGTACAACTTTAAAAGCATAATGTACAAAATGATTAGCATTAAAAACTTGGACATAAATGAGTGATATAACTTTGATTGAGACTTATTATGATTTTAGATTTTGTTTCATAATTTACAAATCATTATTTTAATATTATTGGTAAGGAATAATGTTGATATGTTGATTACCAGGAAGTTGACTTGATATGATGATGATGATAATAATATATTAATTACTAGTTGATTATGGAATGATGATTAATTGATGCCTAGTAATAATAATAATAATAATAATAATAATAATAATAATAATAATAATAATAATAATAATAATAATAATAATAATAATAATAATAATAATTATAATAATAATAATAATATTTTTTGTACAAGGGTATTTATGTCTTTTAAACATATATTATATTCCTATTCTTTAACCAACCAAACATTGGAATACAGTTCTCAATGAGTCAATGTCTATTCCTTCAGCGAACCAAACAACAGAATACAATTCATATTCTGTTCCTTACCCTGTAGAATAACATTTCTATTTCCTCCAAATTGATTCCGTGAACCAAACGGGCCATCATTGTATTATTGTAAATCTACTCTTATCATTCATGACTTGAACTAATCATTGTACTTGGCTCCTATAAATATCTCTTTCATGTGTTTTGTAAATAGTATTTACCAATACTAAAATTATTTGCATATTAATGTTCTCATCATAGGCACTGGTCCTCCACCTAATGAGTCACTGAGTCAGCGAGTCACCATGATTTACCATTTTCACAAATTTTATCGATCAGAGTGTGGGACTTTCGAGGTGAGAGTTTTACCTTTTATGGGCAAGAAAGAAAATGGGTGGCGTTCAACAAAGAAGAGTAACTATAAGACGCAGTTATTGTGGTTTTAAGGATTTCTTATTTTCTCTCCCTTAATATTAAAAAAAAAAAAAGAAAATTACACTTTTGGTTTTGTGATTATTGTGGTCTTATTAATTTGAGTACTTGACCTTAAAAACTATCAATTTAGTCCCGTAACTATGCAATTTTTAACACATTTAGTCCTCCCGGCCAAATGTAATTCCTTTAAAATTATTTATTAATGGGGGCAAAATGGTCTTAAAAAAGGGGGAAAGTTATTTGTTCTTGTTTTCTGCAAGAAGGTATATTTTGTATATTTTGCTCCTTCTATGCCCCGCACCCAACTGTTGCTCGTATGATTTGACCAGGAGGATCAAATGTGTTAAAAATTACATAATTACTGGACTAAGTTGATAGTTTTTAAAGTCAAATATTCAAATTAACAAGATCATAATAGTCACATAACCAAAAATATAATTTTCTAAAAAACAAAGAAGAAGAAGATTTGAGTGAACAGCGAGTAATGAAACTATAGTCTATAGAAGTAAAATCTACTGTAAGTCTTAATCCTTCAAATATTTTATTGATAGTTATATGTTCTATTAACCTTAGTTATAACTTGTGGCAAATTATACTACGGAGCAGGTTCACCTTACATTGTGAACTTTGATTTAAAATGATAATCATTCTGTGTCATTTTACATGTATTATTTATTATTCATTGATCAAACCAACTATATCTTCTTTGATTATTTTCATTAGTATTTTTTAATAATTTTTAGATTTGATTTTGTGTGTTTAATAATATTTTTAATATAGTTTCTAAATATATAAATTTTATATAATAATACTAAACTTAACATTATAAAAAATTAAATTAAAAATAATTTAAGTCAAGTCTCATTAATCGAATCAGACACATAAAATGGGACGAAATGAGTATTTAGATTATGTGTCTGCAGTTAACATATTATGTGTTTTCAGTTAATAAATTATGTACTTATAAATAAATTGAAAACACATAATATGTTAAGTGCATATACATAATTTATTAATTGCAAGTACATAATAATATGTTAATTGTAGTAGATACATAATTATGTTTCTCTAGTGAATAAATTATGTATATGCAGTTAACATATTATGTGATTTCAATTTATTTATAAGTGCATAATTTATTAACTGAAAGTACATCATCTGAATGTTGTTTTGGCAGTCGTTATGCTGTGCACCGTATGCACCATGCATGGTGCATCCGGATGTAAAAACGACGTCGTTTTGACGTCTAACTTTAAAAAAAAAATAATTCAGAATTGCATAACTACACATCCATAATTTCATAACTATACATCCAGAATTACATAACTACACATCCAGAATTACATAATTACACATCCATAATTTCATAACTATAAATTCAGAATTGCATAACTACACATCCATAACTTCATAACTATACATTCAGAATTGCATAACTACACATCCATAACTATAAATCCAGAATTGCATAACTACACATCCAGAATGCATAACTATACATCCGGAATTTCATAACTAAAAATTCAGAATGAATGAACTAAAAAATGAATAACATAATGTTGTTGCTGGGAATCGAAACTGATTTTTTTTTTAAAAGTAAAACAAGCGTTTTGATGCAAAACGACATCATTTTTGCATCCGTATGCACCATACAGATGCACAGCATAATTTTCCTTGTTTTGTACCATAATCCACAATTGATAAAGTGTAGTCCAATAGTCTAAGTCTCTAATAAGCCCATTGATTCAAAACGAAGGCCCAAAAAATTAGTCTTCCCGTTAACCCGGAAATGGCTAAGCCGAAGCTCTCTCTCAACCGTTCACCAATCACCACCAGATACAAAGTTTGAGAGGAGAGAGAGAGAAGCTAAAAGAGTTTTTGGGAGAGAGAGAAGCTAAAAGAGTTTTTGGAGAGAGAGAGAGAGAGATAGAAAGATGAAGCTCTCACTGAAGGTCCAAGACTCCCAATGCTCTCCGCCGCCGCAACCACCGCCGTCGCAGCTGTTGAGCAGCCACCAAAAACAGCCGGAGACGCGGCCGCTTCTCCTCGGAGCTAAAATCCCGATCACCATCTTCAACCTTCCGTTTCTCTCCGGCTTCTCCACCACTACACACCACCCCTCCGACCTCTCCCTCTCCCTCGCCACCAACTTCTCCTCCGGCCCGACTCTTAAGCTCGCCTACACCGCCACCTCTTCCTCCTCATCGACCTCCGCCCCCGCTGCGCCTCCGCTAACGCTCACCCTCAAATCGGGGATTGGCGTCTACGGCTCGCCTAAGAACTCTCCTCTTATCATCTCCGCCAATTTCTCTTTCTCCCCTCATAGCCCCCATTCTAATCCCACTTTCTCTTTGCTCCTCAAACCCCAGCTCGGCTCCTTCTCTCTGAAGAAGGCCACTTCTTCGAACCCTAACCCTAATCCCAAACAGAACGCGGAGGCAAATTCGTTTGGGTTTGTTCCGTTGGAGAGGCCTATGAGCTTAAAGGACTTTTCCTTTGAGGATTATGGTAAAGACTCGATCTTTACGGGGATTTCGGTGATGGCCAGGACTGAAATGCCAGTAACGAAGACGGTTTTGATGAATTGCCGATGGGGTGTGAATTTTCCGGAGGATTTGGGGAAACGAATGCCGCATCTGACTCTGAATAAGATTGGGATTGAGAGGGTTGATGAGGTTATTAAGGAGGTGAAGGAGAAGAAGAGTGAGAGCAGTGGGGGTGAGGTGGAGTTGTTGAAAGGAATGTGTTTTTGGATGAAGAGGGAATTGGATACACTGCAGGGAGAGAACCGAGAGATGAAGGCTAAGTTGGAAGAAATGAAAATGGGGCATTTGCTGAGAACTGGTGGTTCTCATGGTCGGAGAGAAGAGAGTGTTGGGAAGAAGGTGGTTAGTCCAATTGTTGAGAGTTCGAGTGGTTTTGAGCAATGGAGGAACAAGAAGAATCCCGGGGGAGACGTTGTGAAGAAAGAGGCCAAGAAGAATGTGTCCAATGGAAACCGGGATGTCGAGAGTGAATTGCAGAAAGCCATTGCAGCTGCTTCTTCTTCCCTCTGAGGTTAGAATTAGCTCCAGTAACTAACTAGTAAATATGCTCTGCTACTGTATATATGCCACTTGCTTTAAACTCAACTCAATTACTTCTTAATTTCTGCAACTCCTGCCTGCTCGAGTCTTGAATTTATACTGAGTATTTTCATTACCCTACCCGAGTTTATTTGGAGTGAATGATCATTCACTGATATGAATAACATAATCTCTTCTCCCCCTGTCTGTATCTCCCTGCCATTTGTCTCAGGTTTTGTTCCATTCTTGAAAACTTTATGCATCCAAATGTTTGTTTGTATGTATGTATTGCACCAAATTACACCAGTCTCCTCCCTCTCATGGGTATTGGTCTTGAATCTAAAGATTTCAGTCTGTTGCTGCATAAGTGAGTGCTTCCTCGCAATGTGAGTAGACTCGACTGGGGGTGGGGGAGACAGTCTTTTGATTTAAACATTGAACCATTACCATGTGAGTTAATACCTCCAATGGTCCTTCGACTTCGAGTATTGTGATATGACCAGCAAACGTCCTCCGAGTATCAAAAAGTGGCCACCCGTAGTCTTCTGTTAGCAAATGTATGAAAGTGGTGTTAAATTGAAGGGTACCCAACCAAAGTCGTAAATGTAACACGACTTTCATGTCTTTGCTAATGGAAGACCACATGTGGTCGTTTTTTTATACTCGGAGGACATTTACTAGTCATTTTTTGATACTCGGAGAACGTTTGATGGTCATTTTATACTTGGAGGACGTTTGCGCGTAATAGCACAATACTCGAAGGACCATTGGAGGTATAATTCATTACATATCTACCATATTTTCGGGTATGGAAGACTTAATTTAGTTTCAAGTGGTATAGTTTCTCTCCTTTTGCTGGAAGGAAAGATTGCCTACTCTAGCTAGGTTTGCAATTTTGCTAAACCCAAATGAGGACTCAATGTCTAACATCAAACAAGGTAGCCAACGTGTTAAACTCATTATCAAGTGCAAATAATGCACAGACATTGCTTTGTACTTTTGTAGCATTTGATAGAAGCTTGCATGATATATTGCGATTTAGCACTCCACAAAGTCTAGATTTGCCTTTCAAAGGGAAAACAATTGTGCTTGTCCTAGACTTTAGTCAAATTCTTCTAGGTATTCCAAAAGGAAGTGAGAGGATATTATGAATGCGGCGGCGATAAATTTGTCATACTTGTTGAGGTCTGTAAAGTGTGCAATTGACAAAGAATATGTGACTCCAAATTCTTGCTCAAATTATAAGTTTGAAGAGTTGAAACAATTTTGAGAATAAATCCCCAAATATAAGGGATGGAACAATTAAGGGACAAATTGATGGATGTTAAGACACTTTTCTATTCCTGAAAATATTATGTTAAAATGTTCTACAAATGCCATTGCAACTATTGTAAAAAGCACATATCCACCATCTATATATATATATATATATATATATATATATATATATATATAAAATAAAGCAGGAATTCCAGGAAACGCCCCTGGGGCTTAGTGTTGATTCATTGCTTGGCTTAAAGGTCATGATTGGAGGCAGTAGTGCACACACATGAAGACTAGGAATTAGTCCGGTGAAACTGGAATATCTAAGTGAGGAAATGGCTAATGAAATTATTCCTGCTCATTGATAATGTTGTCATTTGGCTTCTTTTTTAAAAAAAAAAAAAATTTTTTTTTAGTGCCATCATTTGGCGCGAACCTTTGGTTTATCATCTACACACCCTACAGTAAGAGAAATCATGTTTTACGGGTTACAAACATATAGACCTTTGCTTTTATATAGAAAAGGGCTACAATGAAAAAACAACGAATGATACATTCTTGAAGCGTTAAGATTGTTCAACTGTAAAGCACAACAATTGAAACTTGATGTCTAGCTAATTCGTTTTTGGTCTCAAATCCATCATGATCATGGAAAGACATGAGTGTGTGTTCAAATGCGGATGGTGTGCTTAGGTGTGAACGAGGATGAGATGAGAGCCCTATTTAAACAAAAAAAAAACATGGTGGCAATTTGTTTTTTTTTTTACATTTAGGTCAAATTTATGGTGCGTGGTGGCTTAAGGTGCATGGTTTTTGTGCTGTGTGTTTAAGGTGCGTTAGTTGTTGAAACTTGCGTCGATCTAAAGATTTTGGTGCGTGGTTTTCCTTTTTATGGTGCGTGGTTTGTGTGCTTAAGGTGCGTCAGTTGTTGAAACTTAAGGTGCGTTGGCTTAAAGCTTTAGGTGCATAGTTTTTCTTCTTACGGTGCATTGTTTTTCTTCTTAAAGTGTACAATTTTTTACCGTTGTTTTTTTAATTGAAGACGCACCTTTATTTATTTATTTTTTTTTACAGTCCCAAAACACAACCATTATCGTTTTCCAATCTTGTTGTAGCAATCAGAATACAGATCAAAGGAGAATTGCTTATGAGTGGCCAGTAGCATATCTTGAACAACGTTTTGTTTTTTGTTTTGTTTTGTTTTGTTTTTTTTTTTTTTTATTTATAAAATTTTCATTGATTTGAGCCGTTGATTTATATTTGATCAACGGTTCAGATTTAATCTCACTTTTGACCTAGGAGCATCTTTGCACAAGAATCACTCCATATAGTGAAAGGTTCCAGTGCGGTTGATTAATGTGTGTGAGTTTTGTACTCAATGTGTGTGAGTCTTGTGCTTAATGTGCCTGAGATTTGTACTTAATGTGCGTGAGTGTGTAATGTTAATGTGCATGAGTGTGTAATGTTAATGTGCGTGAGTTTTGTACTTAAGGTGCGTGAGTTTTGTGCTTAATGTGCATGAGTGTGTACTTAATGTGAGTTGTTGTATGAGTTGTTGTTGGAACTTTAAAGTGCATGAGTCTTGTGCTTAAGGTGCGTGAGTCTGTGCTTAAGGTGCGTGAGTTTTGTACTTAATGTGCGTGAGTGTGTACTTAATGTGAGTTGTTAAAACTTAAGGTGCCTGTGTTTTTGTGCTTAAGATGCGTGAGGGTTGTGCTTAAGATGTCTGACTTTTGTGCTTAATGTGCGTGAGTTTGTTTTCTGAATGTATTTTGTTTGTGTGTTTAATGTGCGTGTGTTGTTGTGTACTTAAAGTGCGTCAGTGTAATGCTTAATGTGCTTCCAACCGCACGGAAAATCTCAAATGCACATGATACCTTCCCTATATATATATATATATATATATATATATATATATATATATATATATATAGAAGGGATCATGTGCATTTGAGGCTTCACGTGCGGTTGGAAGCACATTAAACATTTAACTGACGCACTTTACGTACACAACACACGCACATTAAGCACACAAACAAAACACCTTCAAAACACAACCTCATACACGTTAAGTATAAAACTCATGCATGTTAAGCACAAGTCTCACACACCTTAAGTACAAAACTCATGCATGTTAATCACAAATCACACACACCTTATAAGTTTCAACAACTACTCATATTAAGCACAACCTCACGCACGTTAAGCACAAAACTCATGCACTTTAAACTTTCAACAACAACTCATATTAAATACACACTCACGCACGTTAAGTACAAAACTCACGCACCTTAAGCACGAGACTTACGCACATTAAGCACGAGACTTACGCACATTAAGCACAAAACTCAGTACACACTCACGCACATTAAGCACAAACCTCACATGATACAATCCCACATTGGCTCCACAAGAGATTGTGGAGTGGTACTTAAGTTGGGGCCAAACTTCCACTCATGAGCTAGCTTTTGTGGTGGAGTTAGGGTCTTGGCTTGAGTACTGTATCATTTGGTGCTCTTGTTGAGAGGCCGCAGTCTGGTGGGAAAGGGTTACCTAGAAGAGGGCTACCCGGTGTTTGGTAAGGTTTAAAGGGAACCGAGAAGCGTCCGGAGTGAAAGCTATCCAAAGTGAAGCCGTCCACTCATCCGGTGTCGGCCTAGCAGAGGGGGGCTACCTAGAAAAGGGCTACCTGATGCTTGATAAGGCCTGGAGTGAAGCCATCCAAAGGGAAAAAGGGCTACCTGGTACCAAGAAGAGTCCAGAGTATGAGCTGTCTAGAGTAAACCGCCACGAACGTCGACTTCTCAAGGGGTGGGCAATGATACAATCTCACATTGGTTCCATAAGAGATTGTGGGTCAAACCTCTACTCATGAGCTCATGTTTGCTCTCCACCATTTTAGTTTCATATGCCTTGCCGACTTACGAATCAAATCAAATTTTAAGAACTGAAATTTTGCTGACTTTCCAAAATCCAAATTTGAGTCATTCTCAAATTGCCAGATGGGCCTAGAATCCGTTTTTATATATCTTCTCAAAGAGATTTTCGGGGGCTAATTTTCATGATAATTTCTAAATTAATCTTACATCCTACAGTGTGTGTTGTATTCAATTCTTATAACATGAATAAGAGTTCATATTACATTATGAATGCGTATTTAAAAATTATGTGTCTATAGTTAACACATTCTGTACATCCAATTAACAATTACTGTACATGTAAACAAGTTGAAGGTGCATTACATGGTAATTACAGACACATAATATAATAACTATAAATACATAAATTGTTAAATGCATGTACAAAATGTATCAATTGCAAGTACAAAATTTTAAAGTTATTTTTGGATCAGGTCCACAATGTAAGATAGACTTTAGTCCATGATATAATTTGTCTGTTGCATTTCACATATAATATATATATATATATATATATATATATATATATATATATATATATATATATATATATATATTAGACTTCCAATTTTAGGGGCTCTATGCCAAGGGTCGGCCTTGAGAAGAAAGCAAGCGCAGGGATCACTTTTGTGTGCTATGCATGTGCGCTTAGTTTCTGGGAAAGTTTCCCATTTTCTGGAAAAATGGAAATCGTCTACAAAACTATTTTTTTTTCATTTTTTTTTTATTTTACAAAGTATTTGAAAAAATAGTGTTTTGAGAATATACAGCTACCACAACCTTTAATTTAACACCCCTACTGCTATTTCACCACATGTTTTTTTGGAGGTAATAACAAAAATAAGTATTTCTTGCCGCACATATGATCATTCAAAAATATGGTTTAGTTTAGCTCAATGGGTGAAAAAATTGATGAAACAATTTACACCAGAACATCTCCTCTAGTATTTAGGTTTAACGAATAGTGATAATAGATATATAGTGTAGTTTGTTGAGTCTGTTTCATATTTGTATGTTGTTGT